CCATGGACAGCAGCCCACCAGGCTCCTCTGTCCACAGGATTCTCCAGGCAAGAATACTGGAGTGGGTTGCCATTTCCTCCTCCAAAATATCCTATACTAACGCATATATATGGAATCTAGAAAGATGGTACCGAAGAATTTATTTGCAGGGCAGCAATAGAGAAACAGACATAGAGAACAGACTTATGGACATACGGAGAGGGGAGGAGAGGGTGAAGTGTATGGAGCGAGTAACATGAAAACTTACATTACCATATATAAAATAGACAGCCAATGGGAATTTGCTATATGTCTCAGGAAACTCAAACAGGGGCTCTGTATCAATCTAGAGAGGTGGGATGGGGAGGGAGATGGGAGGGCGATTCAAGAGGGAGGGGGCTGATTCATGTAGAGGTTTGACAGAAAACAACAAAATTCTGTAAAGCAGTTATCCTTCAATTAAGAAATAAAAAAAGAAAACACAATAGCCCAGATGCAGGAAGCAACGTTGTCTACTGACAGGTGAATGGATAAATGCACAACACACACACACACACACATACACACACACACACGAGTATTACTCATCCATTAAAAGAAAACCCAAAGTCTTGTCATCATGACAACATGGATAGAACTAGAGAGTATTACGCCATGTGAAATAAATCAGACACAAATACAAATACCATAGGACCTCTCTTACATGTGGAATCTAAAAAATTAAATGAACAAATAAACAGAACAAAAACAGACACATAAATACAGATACCAAAAAGGTAGTTGCCGGAAGTGGAAGGATGGTGAAACAGATGAAGGGGATTAAGAGGTACAAACCTCTAGTTACAGAACAAATTAGCCATGGGGATTCAGCATAACAAATAAGGTCAATAATATTGTATGGGGACAGATTACTAAACTTGGGGCAGATATCATTTCATAATGTATGCAAATGTCAAATCACTATGTAGTACATCTGAAAATACCATATTGTGTAGCAACTATATTTCAAATATATTCATATTTTTTAAAAAAAGAAAAAAGAAACCAAAGGACCTGAGTAATTCAGTAACATTTATGATATATAGATTCAATATGGTATAAATATATTCTCAACAAATTAATTTTTAATTTCAAAGAATTATCAAAATACAAAGATGTTATATTTTATTTCATCTAATGGTAAGTATTTTCTAATACTCATTCACAATAAAATCATACATTTGGACTACAGCTGCTACAACTAGAAAATTAATGGTAAATTACAATCCATGAATATCAGAGACCCACGGATGAAAGGAGAACTAAATGAGCCAAATTCCAGAGAGGGGAGAGCTCTTCCCAGATGAGCTAAGAGTGCTTCTGGCTGTTTACTTGGCTGAGGGCATTTGTCCAGCCTGAGAACAGGCAGGGCAGGCTCAGCTGAGATAGAGGATGACATCAAAAGAAAGAGAAACCAGTGGAGGCTTTGGTGCCCACCCTGGACGGCAGGCTCTCCCCACCCCGTGTTTGCTATGTGTGGTCAGTGCAGAAACTGGGCAGGAAAGGCAGACTGATTCTCCCATGGTTTCAAGGCACCAAGGATACAGAGTACGCAAGGAAGGAGCCTGCTATCAGTACACCCCTTGAAAACAAGGTGATCCAAGTTCAACTAAAGCAGCAATCCAGTCCCAAACCAGCGTGATGCCTGTTTAGATGAAATGATCAGTCACTCCCCATCTGCACAACAAAGCAAAGGGGAAACAGGCTCCGGTAGAAAGTAACATTGAACTTCAGTCTCTGTGGTTCCTTTTGTACCAGTTCACAAACACACACGTACATAAGTAAAGAAAGAATAACAGAGCTAACTTGGCAAAATAACAATGGGGGAATCTGGGTGAAGGGTTTTTTTTTTTTTTTAATATAATATGGAAGGTTATTTTATTCTACTTTTGCCACTTCTTTAGTTTTGAAATTATTTCAAAATAAAGCATACAATACAATAAACTCCTTGGGCTTTCCAGATGATCATTAGCATACTTAAAGGGCCCTTCACAAGCTAGCCGTGCTCTCACATGCTCCCTGTTCTGGCCATATGCCTTCTTTCCACTACACAAGGCATCTGCTGGTTCTCACTGCAAGGCCACCAACTTAGCTGCCTCCAAAGCCTGGAATGCTTCATGTACTGTGCCTTCATCTGCCCATGATCATCAAGTTGTCATTCAGATTCTGCTTAAATGCTGCCCCAAGACAAGTAGCCACCCAGCCACTGTCACATGCACAAACATTCACAGTTTTGTTCATGATGTTCCTCTGATATGTCTTATCATCTCCATCTCCCGTATCTTCCATGGGGTATGGGTCCCGTCAGTCTTGTTCACCTTTGCACACCCTAAAAAATTACCTGGCATAATAGTCAATGTTTGCTAAATACATGTACTCAAGAATAAGGAAATACTGTTTACATTTGTTAAAGTCTCTTACGTCCTAAGGGCAATAAGAGCACAGACTCTGAAGAAACTCTGTGTGGGTCTGAATCTTAGCTCTGCCACCCTTGTCTCGTTTCCCTTACTAGTTTGGGACTGTGGGCAGCCTCCCCAGTTTCCTCAGCTGTACAATGGGGACATACTTGTCTCACAGGGCCCTGAGACTTTAATGATGTCACACACACAAAGTGCCTAGGCCAAGAGTGGTGTCTATTAATGTTATTCAATAGTTGTAAACTCTTCTTTATTAATAGGTTCTGTAGACTTATAATGTTCATTTATTTTATATTCCTTAATTGCTATCACAAATACATTCTCTTATTGTACTTTCTGTATAATTATTGTTTAAAGACAAAAAATTCACTGATTTTTGAGGTTAATTGTATCCCTCAGGCCACCTCAATGAAATCCTTTCCCCCTGTCAGCAAAACCCTTCCTGTCATACTTGATCACCTAAAAAAATACTATTACTATACTATTACTAATTGCTTCTTTACATCCATCTATCCATGTGCTAAGTGCTAAGTCACTTCAGTCATGTCTGACTCATTTTGACCCTGTGGACTGTGGCCCGCCAGGCTCTTTCCATGGGATTTTCCAGGCAAGAATACTGGTGAGGGCTGCCATTTCCTTTTCCAGGGGATCTTCCAGACCTAGGGATCGAACCTGCATCTCTTATGTCTCTTGCATTGGCAGTCAGGTTCTTTACCACTAGTGCCATCTACACTAGGAAATCAACCCTGCATATTCACTGGAAAGACTGATGCTGAAGCTAAAGCTCCAATACTTTGGCCACCTGATGTGAAGAGCCGACTCACTGGGAAAGACCCTGATGCTGGGAAAGACTGAGGGCAGGAGAAGGGGGTGACAGAGGATGAGATGGTTGGATGGTATCACGGACTCCATGGACAGGAATTTTGAGCAAACTCTGGGAGGTAGTGAAGGACAGGGAAGCTTGGTGTGCTGTAATTCATGGGGTCGCAAAGAGTCAGACATGACTGAGTAACTGAAGAACAACCACCACCACCTATACTATTACTAATCATTTCTTTACATCCTGCTGTCCACAACCTAATGCAATTCCTTCACCTCTTAGGAAGTGAATATCTGTAGCACACCCGACATTCTGTTTGCTCTGGAAAAACTGCTTAAGACCTATAAATTCTGAAATCCAAGAAGCACCTTTTGGCTTTATGAAATACTTTCAAGACACTTCACATCATGGCTTCTAAGAAGTTCTCTATTATCAACTTGGTAGGGGAAAAACCACTCTCCAAATGTTCTCTCACCTCTCCTGCACCCCAGCTCCTCTTTAACGCAGTCCTTGTCATTGTCCTGAGGCTTCTACTTGGTCCTTTTGGGGGCTCTACTCCTATACCTATAACTCCTGTAGTTAAAGGCACCAATATAGGTGCCTTTAATCGGTACATGTTAGTTGAAAACTCCCACCTGAGCTACAGACTCAACTGTAGGCACCACATATTCAATACCTACAAAGCTACACTCTGAGGTCTAGTGGTAAAGAATCCACCTGCCACTGCAGGGTACACGGGTTTGATCCCTGGTCCAGGAAGATCCCACATGCCTCGGAGCAACTAATCCCTTGCACCTCAACTACTGAGCCCCTGCTCTAGAGACCAGGGACCATAACTACTAAGCCCACGTGTTGCAACTACTAAAGCCCGCTTGCCCCAGAGCCTGGACACCACAAGAGAAGCCCAGACACTGCAACTAGAGAGGAGCCCCCACTCACTGCAACTAGAGAAAGCCAGAACAGCAAGGAAGACCTACCCCCCCTCCCCACCACCCCCAGCCACAGGCAAAGATAAATAAATCTTAAAAGAAGGAAAGAAAAAAAAAAAAAGCTACATACACTCTGTCCCTGGATACTTCTTCCAACAGTGTTTTCAAGACTGGACACATCACCGGTGTGCCAACAGCTCAGGAGTTCAGCATTCGCTGTTAAGTCTCCCTCTGGTTCAGTCCTCCAACCACCTGCACGGTCCGGAGGGTCCACTGGCTCACTCCTGTCACAACACTGCTCCTTCCTGCTTTGAATCCTTAAACTCCTTCCCCGCCATCCTGCCCAAGGACTCTGTGCGCCAGACCACAGCTCCTCTAAAACAAGAAACGTACGTGATTTCTTTGCACTGCCAGTATCAATGGCTGGATCCAGCTCACGAGGGTACTCAGTATACAAGCATCTGAACAAGCTAATGAACAAAAAGGAGGTAAATTTCCCTGCTGATGCCCTGAAAATCTGGACGCGAAGACAACTCAGAACTTGTGCGTGTAAAATCTGAAACGACAGAGGATCATTTCCTTCACAAGGGCCCTCACTGCCCTAGGAATTCAGGGTCCGCTGTAGACAACAAAGCAGAGTAACTGCCCACGGACAGGGCACCGGACACCAAGTGCCAGAAGACAAGGGACGTTTCTGGAGACTCAGGGGGATGGCGGGGAATATGTGAGTTCAAGCCCTGGTGTGACCGTGAAGGGATGAAGAGGTCCACCCTCACGGCCGAGTCAGTTTTCTTAAGTGAGAAAGTCCCTACTTACCGAACACGAAGCTGTCGGGAACCTGGTGGCCATCCCGGGCTGTTTCGTGCAGGCTGCGGAGGAGAGAACCGAACTCTGAGGATACCCCTGCTGGTCCCACCCCGCCCACCAAGAGGGGGTTCGAGCCCGACGGAGAGGGTCCGCGGGCACCAGGCACCTGCCCGTCCGGGGCTGAGTCCCTCCCTCGTAGGGAAGGGGCCTCCGGGCCCGGGCAGAGGGAACTTGGACAATGAGTTTGTACCGCTCCGCAACCCTGATGCGGGAGGGACCGAGGCCGGGCTGGCTGCCTCTACGCCGGGATCGAGCGTGGGGGCACAGCTGGTCAAGATCCTGGTTCGCACAGGATGTTCTGGGCCAGGGTAACTTCGCGTCTCAGCTAGCTCCGCAGTCTCTGAAACGGAACGCCCCCGCCCCGCCCCTGAGCACAGAAGCCCTGCCGGATACAGCCCGTTAGGCGCGTATTCCTCTACGGCCGCAGGGCGGCGCAGACGGAAGTACGTCACGTGACGAACAGCGGCTGGCAGAACACTACATCTCCCAGAATCCTCTGTGGAGGAAGAGGGCTTGGATAGACGTGCAAGGCCTGATGGGAAAGGCGGGCGGGCTCTACTAGAGTTGGTATCAATTCCTCCGCTGCCCAGGGCAGCGTTAGTGTCTGGGCAGTGGCCGGTGGTTGGGTCTTGAGGCCAAACCAGGTAGAGTTCGTAGAGGAAGGCCCAGCAGAGAACGACACCGTGTGAAACTATGAGGTGCAGTGCACAGGGTTATAAAACAGTACTGAATATCAGTGCACCAAATAAGTTACCATCTTTACAGAGGAGAAAGTATAGTAGGTGAGAAGTAGAAGGACATCAATATTGGGACACGCAGACGCGTGGTTGTCCAACACAGAGCAGACAGTAGTCAACTGTTAAAAAAAAAAAGCACAACCTGAAAGTTGAGAGTTCTGTTTTATTCTGTGGGCAAAACTGAGGATTTAAGCCTGGGACACAGCAGCTCAGATAACTCTGAGAGGAGACTGCTCTGAAGAGGCAAGGGGGAAGTCAGGATAGGTAGGAGTTTTTGCAACAAAGATATAGTAGTTGGAACATCAAAAGATTATTGATTAAAGAAAACTAGATAGCTCAAGTTAAGGGATTTACTGCTTTTCCATCTATGGGAAGATACAAGAGTCTAAGCTTACTGAAATCATTCCTTTGATATGCATCTCAGCTATCTGGGGCCAGTATTCTGTGTTTTCTCACCCTGAGACCCCCTCAAGGCTCACAGTCAGGTGGTTGTAATCTGATGGCTTGAAGGCTGCAACATCCTTTGTTTACTGATATGGTAGGCAATATTTAGCTATAAATTAAAAGCATAATTTAAAAAGCTCTTTCTGTCTGAAAAAAAATTGTTTTTAAAAAGTCTTATCTTCAACTGACAGCAAATGAAATAGGGAAATTCAGACAAAACTGTAGACAACACTACGCATTAACGTGTGGGAGAAACTAAGAGCAATGATGACAGGAAATTTCCTAATCGTTAAGTAATTGTATGGAGTAGGAAATGGCAACCCACTCCAGTATTCTTGCCTAGAGAATCCCATGGCCAGAGGAGTCTGGTGGATTATGGTCCATGGGATCGCAAAGAGTTGGACACGACTGAGTGACTAAGCATAGCATAGCATAAGTAATTATAGTAGTTATAACAGTAAAAACAAAACAATAAGAGTTGAATTCTCAAAAAGCTAAAGAACAAAGTAAACCTAGGGCTTCCCTAGTGGTCCAGTGGCTAAGAATCTGCCTTGCAATGCAGGGGACATGGGTTAGATCCCTGGTTTCAGGAAGATCCCACATGCCTCGGGGCAACTAAGCCCAGGTGCCAGAACTATTGAGCGTGCACTCCAAAGGAGGCGAGCAGCAACTCCTGCCACCACTTGGGGAAACTACTGAAGCCCAGGTAACTACAGCCTGTGCTCTGCAACAAGAGAAGCTACTGTAATGAGAAAACTGTAAACCACAACTGGGAGAAAGCCCCACACAACAGTGAAAACCCAGAGCAGCCAAAATAAATAAATAGATAAATAAATATATATATTTAAAAACCCCAAACAAGGTAAACATAAAAAAGGCAAAGCAGAGGAAATACTAAAGGAAATACTAAAGATTAAAGAAAAAAATTATTCAAAATTTGCAAGGACAGGAAAAAAAAGTGTAATAATACTGTGAATCCACTCAAAGTAACTGACATATATAGAACACTGTAACTAAAGATATTAAATATACATAACTTTTACATGTGCATGGAGCATTCTCCAAGATAGGTCCTATGTTGGACCACAAAATAAATCTCAATAAATCTGAAAGGACTGCACCCATAAAAAGTGTATTTTCTGACAATGGTAGAAGTAAATTAGAAATAAACCCTAGAAAAATGTAGGAAGTCCCCAGGTTTTTGGACGTTAATAAACATGGTTTCAAGTAACTGCTAACTCAAGAAACCACAGGAAAGGTAGAAAACACTTTGAACTGAAGTGAAGTGAAAATGCAATGTATTGTAAATGTCTACATCACTAGAAATCCAAATCCTGAGCTCGCTCTTTTATTCCACTTACCGCCAATTTAATCTTCCCTTTCTAGCTGAATCCAGAACTGCTCAGTTCCTATTATGATCTCATAAAATTCCCAAGCAAATTGTATTCTTAACAAATCCCTAACATGCTCTATGCCCTGTTCTCTGATGGAAGGAAACTCAGCACTTAAGATCTTTCTTAGGCTGGTCTCCCATCTGAATTGCCATTTAAGTAAATTTAAATGAATAATCCCTAATCCTACTGTACTGTCTTTTGAGATCTTACCATATTGTACCTTAGTCTAATTCTAAGGGGCATTGGATTAATTCCCCTTATTCATAATTCTGAAATTTTTGTTATGATCTAAAACTGCTACTGCCTTAAAACAGTGCAGAACTATTTTTAGGGAAGAGGGTCTAGGATTGATATTGGTTTACAGTGAAATGGCAGGAAGTCTTGGGAAAGTGTGTGACAGAAATAGACAGCTGTAAGAATAATTAATGACAGTGTATAGCAAAGAGGAAACTAGGGAGGACATTAGAGTGTGTAAGGTATGATAGAATACAACACAGAGATAACCATTCTGTTCATAGAAGATTAGGGACAGTGATCGGGGCAACTGCATGCAAAAAGGAAGTAAAGCTACAACAATGAATACATGCATACCTATTTGTTTCTATATTTTTCAGTGATTTAGCTTAAGTTTTTGTTGTTGTTTGTTTTAGTTGGCATGGGAATTGATGCTGAAAATGAAGTAGAAGGTAGTCAAGCTGAGTAAATTGGAGTTTTGTTTTCCTTGACACTCAAAAGGAAACAGTTAGAGGCAGGAGCCTAACTATGCTGGAGCAAATAGATAAGATGACCACATCTATCACATTTGAGATCAAGGAGACCTGCCCTGACAGTGAATGCATAGAAAGACTCCTCTGGGGTAAAAAAGGAAGGGGGTGCTATCCCATAATAGGCTAAAAGATGAACATGCATATTGGGGAGAGCCCTGGTCCAGGTCAGATGGGGAGAAGGAAGCGAGATAATTGGCCAGAGAAAACAAAGACCCAGAAGAACTACTCTTGGATAAGCAATCACCTGTCTGGCACACTCCTCATTAAGGAGAATGCCCGCCCTCTTCTCTGGGTGCATATTTCTGCCCTATTTTTGTGTTAAATAAATAAAATGCTTCTCTGTGTGCTCTCTCACATGTTATGCTGTGTCCCTAATAATAAACTTTGTGCCTGTTTTCAAGTTTTGTCTCCCTGAAACACTTGTTTTCAACAGGGACAAGAGCCAGAGAAGCTTCAAATCTAGCTTCTAGCCTCTGGTAGTTACAATTCCTGGTTTTCACCCCAGCTACCCCAGGTTCATTTCTTGGGCAGGGAACTAAGATTCTGGTTCAAGTCACCACTCACTGCTGTCTCCCTGAGATCAGAAAAATCATGCTTAATTAATGCATTAAAATTTTAATTTAAGATTCATTTGAATGCAAATGCCAGAAATATAGCTCAGATTAGCTTAAATTAATAGAGAAAATGTATTAGCTCTCATATATAAATGTATATATACATAAATATATATGTAATGTATATAAATGCACTTTCTTTACCCCTCACCACCTGGGAAGATATCATAGATGTATATAACATATGTATTATATAATGTATAAATGTGTAAATTATAAATAAATGTATAGTTCTAATATAATAACTGAAAGGAACAGGCAGTAGGCTTCAGGAATGACTTGAGTCAAAACTTCAATCAGCATTGCACTACTTTCTCCCTTTCTCCATTCTTTCCAGTTGGCCTCATTTTCAGTCAGCTTTCATCATGAAGTAGCAGAGGAAACTGACATTTTTTTCATAATAGTTCTGGAAAATATGTGGGGACTGACTTTCACAGAGTCAGTTTTCTTTCCCTGAACATGAGTCACAGTGACCAATGATCTAGCCCTTGGCTGATTGTATAAAACCAGTACTTCATTGTCTGGACCTCCACTGAGACCACATAGATCAAGCATAGGAGAAAGTTTGTTTCCTAAAGAGAAAATGAGATAAATTATCAGAAGAAAGGGAATGGATATAAGGAAGGCAAAAATAAAATTTCTTAGGTCCTCTATTTCTAGAATTACTGACTCCCCTGATACATGAATTCACTCTGGGACAGTCACAGCATGAGGAAACACTGTGTCACATTTTCAATGCTCAAGTCATATTGCAAAGCCTCCAAATCCATTTTTGCCTACCCCAGTGAATTTTGATCTCACCATATTTATGAACTGTGGTAGGATTTGTAATCTGAACCATATAAATTATTCTTATGGCCTTTATAGCACATGTCATTCTTTGTTTCCTCCTTGCATACCTTTATTATTATTATTTTTTTTCTACTTAAGTTGTAAGCTTTGGGTAAAAAAGTGCTCCTATTTATTTTATTCCCAATCTTAGAAACAGATTCTTTTAGATATTGAATTGGTTGGTTGATTTATATGGAATATACTGAGAAAAATCATTTCTCCATTTTAAAAATTGTCTTTTTCATAACAATTTCTTCTC